TATTTCTATTTTAAAATATTTTGAGTATTTTTAATATAAGTTTTTCTAGACTTAAACATTTTCAGTCTAGTTTTGGATAAATAATGTCCAAGCMTTGACATTCACTGTAAATATTTTATTGAGGTGGTCAAACTTTATATAATTTACAAAACACCCTGGGAAATTAGGATCACCCTCATGKTTATCGGTACTTGTGTTTTCCGATATCTACACTCCCCAGTACTTGTGTTTCCTGGTACCTATGCTCTCTAGTACTTATGTTTCCCGGTACTTATGCTCCCCAGTACAATGTATACAGTACACTGTAATTCTGAATTTTTTTCTTTTGTTTTAAAAGGTATATGAAGGGGGAGTTAAGTATCTTTCAGGACTTTGATTTAACCCTGTGAAAACATGGGGACTGGTGATCACAGGTACCGGAGAACATGGGTACAAATTWAAAAAAAAATCAAATCAAAGTACCTGAAGGGAACATTGTACAACAAGACATTTCTTGGAGGGGAAACGTGTTTTGCTGCTCCTGACTTCATCATGGAGTTCAAGTAGTTTTTGACGACCACATAGTTTTGGCAAAATTCACCAGACATTTCAAAACTTTTCTGTCAGGGGAAAAGAAAAACAACAACTTTATACTTTGCTTTCCCCCCATTCTTCATCTGCTTCTTTATAATTATTTAGTTTTGTTCATCTTTYTTGTGTGGAATAATTTGCATAATTTATTTGCTTAGATATGGGAATGTGGCAGCAAAACCCTGTCAATTCGAATAGGGACTGATTTTTATTCAAACACTGCGGTCAACCAAACTATTTTGGAAGTAAGTTGGAAGAAAAGAAAACAAACTGCRGAGTCACTGTCAGTTCTCACTGGACTGAGTTAAAAAAATCTATTTTTTCTGTCCAGCTTTGTTTAATCTGTAGTAGCAAAGTTTTTATGTCTTTTCTTGGAGAAGTGACAGAATGGTTCGGGTTTTTGGTACATAAAGTGGTTTCACTAACGTGTCCAAACTGTCATCTTAAATACAACCATCTGTAAGTTTCCAGTCAGAAAAACGTTTCTTAAGCGTCGGAGTTCTTCATGATGTTCTGTTAAATGGTGGTTCGGGTTTTGAAAACTGGACCTGTGTTGTAACAACCCTCTCTTCTGTCTCTTCCAGTTAACCTATCTAGGCCCGCCGTTCAATGAGAAAGACTTCTCCCCTCCTCGACCCAACAGCACCGCTTTGATTCTGCCGAGCGCCGCCACCCGACTGGATCTGTGGCACGGCCTGGAAAACCAAGCCCGCCTGGCTCAGAACCAGAGGGCCTACTCCATCCTGCTGGCAGCCGTCAGGGAGCTGGCCCGTTCCACTTTGTGCCCGTCCCTCAAAATCTCCCTGTTGCACTTCTGCACCGGTCTGGACGGACTGCTGGGCTCTATTTCYACACTAATGACCTCCCTTGGTTATTCGCCTTTGCCACAGTCCGCAAACGCGAGGGGCAAGAGAACCGAGGGAGGTCAACACAGTGGCCAACAAAGGAGTGGGACAAAGGGGGTCAGGGGCGAGAGGGATGGCGGCACAGGCATGGTTGTGACAGACAAAAATAGGAGGGACGGGAGGAGAGCAGCGGCAAGTGGAGGACGGAGTGGTGGACCGAAGGACAAGGCTAAAAGAGGGAGAGTGAGAAGAGAGAAGAGGGAAGAGCCTCACAATGGAATAAGAGCTGCTGTTATGAAAGAGGAGCACCAAACAGAGGTGGGAAGGAGGCGGCTGCTGAGTATTGATGAAGATTGGATTAAAGACGACAGGCAGGCTGAATTCAGGGTCGAAGTGTCGTATTTGAGTTCAGGAGGAACCATAAATCAAGAGCAAAGTGACAACGAGTACAGCTTTGACCTAACCTCACTCAGAGAAGACGGGTTTATTGTGGGAAGAAGCCAAGGATCAATGATCAGGGAGGAGAAGCTGACCGACATGGACTCCTCCTCGTCTATGTTAGACATACGTCGTCGGTCTCCTCGCTCCCTCCTCTCCCCCACCCTCCAACCTCCTCTGTCCACCCTCTCCCTCCTGTACCAGTTCGGAGCAGGCGAGGAGCATACCCTTCTTCCCCAGACCGTCCCGCTGTCTTTACAAAGAGGCACCTCTCTCCTATCACCTCCCTTGAACCCGCTCTTCTCCTCGTCTTCCGCCTCCTCCTCCTCGCTACTCTCGGTGCGGCCAAAGATGAACGATTTTGCCAGGAAGGTGGAGGGATTCTGGATACTGAGGGAGCTGCAGAGCTGGCTGTGGCGGTCGGCGAAGGATTTCAACCGTCTCAAGAAGAGACTCAGAGATTGAGATGCTTTGTGAAAAGACAACAATGAGACACAAAGACTTGTGAAAGTAACAGAGGAGAGGAAATCCATTGTTTCCGTAAAAAAGCGGAGTGGACAAAAATAGATAAAAACGCTCATTAACACATTCATTCATGCTGTACTGGAATAAGTGAATGAAGAACTACTTGGCAAGTCACCAGACCGGCTACTGGAATACAAAACACACAAAGCCATTACATGACACTGTCACTGATGCACATAACAGGTCATTGAGCAAAACACACTGAGAGTGGGTCTGAGTTTCCGGACTTCACAGCTCATAGATCAACAGAAATACCACTGTAGGTGGTTAGACTCAACCAAACTGAGTGACCGGCAGCGACCCAGACAGTGCCACCATTGAGTACAGATGTGTGAATCAGCAAACATTCATTTTCTCTACAGGAAGAAGGAAAAAAAATTCTGAATGGGCAGAAAAACAAAAAAAGGAAAGGAAAATGCTCGAAGCGATGATGAAGTCACGGAGGAGGCGTGAGTCAGGGAATGATCGGCAAAAGTAACCAGCATTTGGGTATTGCTGACTAATCAAATGGTCACTTACAGCAACCCTATAACAGAGTTACACACTCTCTATTGAGACACACTCTTATTGTGTCGAGCTGGAGCTCACCATTCATGCAACCTTTTTTGCTGTTTTCTCACAATTTCAGTGCTGATTTAGCCTCTTTAAAATACCCAATCCACTTGAAAAATACAGTTGTTTTATTTGTTGAAAAATTAATATAATTATTAATAATAATAATATTGTTGCTCGTTTCTTGACTTTCACTACACTCACATTTGTAAAGTTAATGTGACAACAGCGCTAAAACCTTTGTTTAGCTAAGCATAATGGTTCAAAATAAGGAAATAGCTACAAGTTAGCTAGTCAACAAACGGTCATTTGTTAGCTTGTTAGTAAGTGAACTAGCTAACATGTGAGCTCGCCAACAAACAGTTTGTTAGCCAGCTAGCCAACAAGTGAATGGGGACCTCCACTCATGACGTCACACATATAATTTACATACAACAGGGTTGAGGTCTTCGACCGACTTGGAATATGAGTGGATTTATTACATTATGTTATAACAATGTTATAACAATGACAACCTGAAACCCGTTCTCAGTCATAACTGTTCCTTTAAGTCATGTTTCTGGGCACAGATGTGCTGGATTTCTCTCCTTGAAAGTTAAACTGTTTCTTTTCAGAACAAATTTGTTTGAATGTGTTTGAAATGAGCCTGATGATATGGCCAAAAGTTACTGACATTATTTATTGAACAAGAAGATGTATATTTATTTTTTTCAGAGTAAAAAAATACTGTATTGTAACTCGAGAGAGAATAAATACTAGCTTTTGTACACAGCTTGGTGTCATTGGTCATTTGGGAGTTCTTTTATGAGAAATAATAAAAAAATGCATATGAGGGTTTTTGTTTTAGTTTTATGAGGATGGTTTCAAGTGATTGACACTTGGAGGGAGGAATTTAAGGTCTGAGGCGTTTCCTACAAAACAAAAGGCCGTTCACATTTTTTTAAAGAGCGCTTAAAGAGGTCAGGGTAGGAGAGAGGTTTTATTCGTCTGTCCTGGTGAAAATTTACGATCCTTTTCCTTTTCATCTCGCTCTTCTCACTTCCCGAAGCATCATCCCACCTCCCACTACACTTTTGTTCCTCATTACGCTGTCTCACGAGGCTCCTCTTTCCACCATAAAAAAATATTGCACAGACCTGAGGACAGGTASAAACACACCTTGATAATCCCACTAACAGACTATTGTTGTTTTAAATGCTACAATTTCTGTCAGCACCTCTGCTTCTTACCATTTTTTCCCTGTCTCCAGTCTTTTATCGTCTTCACACCTGTTATCTTCCTTCATTTGCTTCCTTGTTATGGTTTCAAAGACGCCATTCCCATTAGCTCTACAGCTTTTTCTTTTTTTTTGCTTCAGGCCAAATTTTAAAAAGGATCAATGAGGATGTCACCTTCAAGGTGCACACCTGCACCTAACAGATACACACCCTGAAACACACACGTTAAGTAAGGGTACCCATTGAAGCGGAGTTAGCTGCGCAGGAAGTGATTCATCTTGGTCAAGCGTGTCGAMGCTGACACACAAACACTCGTGAAAGGGTTAACAACATGTAAACACACACGAGGCGCCGTACGGTTTCCACGTTCAGTAGGCGATGACCGAGAGGCTGCAGATGATCAACAAAGGCAGCTCTGTTGGCTCATCGTGTGCACGTTGAGCAGCGTGTGTGTTGTTTGCCCCTGTGTGGGCTTGTAGCTGCAGCACGTGTGTGAATCATTATCTGTGTGTGTCAGAACTTTGTCGGAATGAGGCTCGTCATGCATAGCTATCTAACGGCCATCACTTACTGTTGTCTGGCTCTTTTCTGTGTGTGTGTGTGTGTGTGTGTGTGTGTGTGTGTGTGTGTGTGTGTGTGTGTGTGTGTGTGTGT